TGCTGCTATGAACATTGGTGTGCATATATCTACTTGGGTTATGACTCATATTTCTTGTGGGTAAAATACCAAGTAGAGAAATTGCTGGATCATAAGGTATTCTCTTCCCAACCTTTTGAGGAAGTGTCATGTTGCTTTCCAGAGAGGTTGGACCATTTTGCAGTCCCACCAGCAATGCAGGAGTGTCCCAGTCTCTCCATATCCCCGCCAGCATTTATTGTCCTCTACTTTTTTGATTTTTGCTGTTATTGTTGGTGTGAGATGACAGACATTTCATTGTTGTTTTGATTTGCTTCTCTCTAATGGAGTGCGAGTGTGGCGCTGTGGGTTAATGAGCCAGACTGCAAAGTTGTTTGAACTGCAAGGTCGGCAGTTCAAGCTCACCAGCTGCTCCTCGGAAACCCTACATAGGGTCGCTATGAGTCGGAACCAACTCGATGGCACTTCACAACAACAACAATGGCTAGTGATCATGAACATTTGTTATATGTTTGTTGGCTGCCCGGCCTGCTTATTATTCAATTAGGATCTCAGCTACCACTGGCACTATGGCTGGATCCCTTGTGCAGGGCGCACCCAAGGCACTCAGTTGCAGCAGCCCTGAGGCATGGAACAGCTTCTGTGTCCAACATATTTGCAAACCAAGTATTATAATTACTATTACTTTTGTGTTGGTAAAATGGAATCTATTTTATAGCCCTGGTGAGAGAATGGTTAGGCATTGGGCTGGTAACTGAAAATGACACAGGCACTGACTATAGATAGAATCACACCTTGATTACATATCATTATATGTTTTACTAAGAACAATGAGCAAAATAAACTTCTGCTTCTACTTGAGTGTAAAAGCTAATACATCTTAGTATGTCAATAACTGATAAAGTGCTTGAAATTCAACCATTCTTCAATATTTTCTGATAGCTATAACACAATTATTATTGTTAAATGCCATCAAGTCGGTTCTGATCCATAACAACACTGTATAGGGTTTCCAAGGAACAGCTGGTGAGCTTGAACCACTGATCTTGCAGTTCAAATGGCTTTGCAGTCTGGAGCATTAACCCACAGCACCACACCAGGACTCCTACTATAGTTAGGCTTATAATGTCCCTTGCAAATCTCAACGTGTCTTCCTATCTGTTTAATCTTATTTTATCCTCCCAACCAGAAATATTGACAGTTCAGTTTGTGGAAGAACTTTTCAAAAGAGAGCTCCAGGAAAAGCACGCACTAGGGAACATGAAACAATAAATGAATGAAAAAAGGAATGTTCAAAGTCAAATATTTGAATTGAATCAGGGGAACGTGCTTTTTATAGAGATCCAGAGAAGTCCTGGTATGGCACTGTGGGGTAATGCACTGGACCGCAAGGTCGGTTGGAACTGCAAAATCAGTGATTCAAACTCACCAGCTGCTCCTCAGAAACCCTATACAAGGTCGCTATGAATAGGAACCTACCTATTCTAAATGCAACACTCTTTCTGGTCTCAACAGTCTAGTGCTACAAGGTCAGCGGCTCAAATCCATTGGAAACTCTTAGGGTTCTTTATGAGTTGGAATGGACTCGATGGCACTTAACAATAAGAATGATATCACATCACAATTATTGTGATGATTAAATGTGACAAAATATATAACATGCCTGGGCAAATACTAAACAATGAACTTTAATTCTTTTCTCTGTGTGAAAAATCAATTTTCAATATATGAACTTTTAGATTTCAACTTTTCTTTAAATAGAGCTCATCCATAGTAACATTTTTCTTGTCTAAATTACACCACCTTAAAGGATTGCCATGGAGTTGGTTCCACCTCACAGAGACCCTGTTTAAGGGCTTCTAATGACCAGCTAATGGGTTTGAACTGCCAGTGCTTATCCTACAGCACCAAGCTACTGAGACCAGAAAGAGTGATGGAGTTAGAATTCATATTCTCGTCACTATTGTCACACTAGCTACTCCTTGGAAACACTATACAGGGTTGCTCCCTGTGAGTCTAAACTAACTCCATGGCACTTAACAATAACAGAAACAAAGGAGAGTGGGTGTGGACAGTATAAAAAGGATTGTAAAAGACTTTTTTCACTCCCAGTCACCAGTGTTGACAATTCTCTTGATTAAAATGTAGTTAGTCTGATTAATTTTCTACTTGTCTCGGAAAAATTAGGAAATGTTTACTGCTTGGTATTAAGCTTTGATTCACAGAAGCTCATACACATTCTAGAAGTTTTGAGGATTTAAAAGTAGAATAATACTATTGGTATGACTTTTCAAAATTTTGTGACATCTTAATGACCATTTTACAAAACCTTAGAGGAAAAAATTAATAACATCATTTAAATACATTCGTTTTCTAAAGTATATTTATAATTCCCACAGTATCCAATTAGTGCCTAAAATATAGTTGATTATAAATGTATTTTGAAACAATAACTAAAGACAAAATTCTCAATCCTGAAAAAAAAAATTTGTGTCAAGGAAAAAAAGCACAGTATGACAAGGAATTCCAAGCAAAATGCTCAGTGAATCTTCAAAAATATTTTAAATGAACTTTCCCAGGGAACACAATTAATTTCATTTTTTTTCTTTAGACAGATAACAAACATAATCTAAAGATCTACTTATCTAAATCGCTTATATAAGCTTTTGGAATATAGTTAAGACATGTTCGATGAAACTTAACAATAATTGCACAATCACAAAGTATTACATTTTTATACTCAACAGGGCTAGAATCTGTAAGTTACCCAGCAAGAGTAAAGAGAAATCCTCTGTTTATTAAGAAAAACTCATAAAGAATATTTTAGTTATCTATAGACGCATAATTATATTTTTAAAATGAACAAAAGAAAAGTCTACTAAAATATATTATTTATAAATAAGAAAGCAAATTAGGTCTTATTCATGTTTCTCCAAATAACCATAATTATTTTCAAAGTGATAACAATATAAAAGTTACCAATCTTATCTGTTTGACCTAAGAGGATTAAGAATTCTCTCTTTTTAAAATGTCAACAAGTGATTTTGCTCTAATGGAAGGATGGACAAGTATGAAATGAAAGACTATGAAACCCAATCACATTTAATCATTGTTATGCTTGTTAGTCTTTATTAAAACAAAACAAAACAAAAAATCAAAATTTCAGACTTTCAGACACTGAATTACATGATATGTACAAGAATATACAAAAGTAGAAGGAGAAAAGGTAAATATCTACTACATTAGCACAGCAGGAATTCCGACTGGTTATTCTATCTCAAATTCAAATGTTCACATCCAAGACGCCACAGAGGTAGCTTCCTTTTGTACCTAAAGTGAAAAGAAATGCATGTAAGAGAAAATAATAATATATGGTTCATTTGTGAATTGTCTAATAGCTCTGGTAGTGGTGGTTGTGTGCAACTGAGTTGTTTTTGACTCATAAAGACCCTGTACGTTTTGTCTTTATGGGAACAAAAAGCTCCTCTTTTTTTTCTTTTTTCCCAGCAGAGACACTGGTAGACAAACTGCTGACCTGTGGTTAGCAGCACAACATGTAACCCACTACACCACCTGAGCGCCTTTCTAGCAGCTCTAGGATATTAAGATTCTAACCTGAGACATATATATTGTATGCCCAAAGAAATTAGCTGACATATGCAGCAGATAATATCTATATTTTAAAAGATGAGTAAACGACAAGGTTTAGTGACCAGTCTTATAAAATCTCTGGGGGAGCTAGAGGTTTCCTGGTATTAATTCCTATGTAGATTGAAAATAAAAAGTAACTTCTATTCTGTTTTAATATATAGTGGGGCACTCTGTAGGATCAACACTGTACTGTGACCCACAAGGTTGGCAGTTCAAACCCACCAGCTGCTCTTTGTAAACTTAATACAGGGTCATTATGAGTCGGAACCAACTCAACAGCACTTCACAACAACAAAAATTACTGTAACTTGAAAGTTGGTAATTTATAGGCAACAAGTATGAGAATAATAATAAAAACAGTAAAAATGAGTGGCTTAAGCCTTTATTTAAATTGTGGAATCTGGAAGATTAAACATAATGCTACTATTTTCTCACACAGATTCATTTGTGCCCTGTGTTCATATAAAGTCCACAGCTTAAAAAGATACTCAGTCTCTGACTTAACAGGATAGCCTGAAGAGTTTGGTCCACTCTACTGCTAGGACTTCCTCTTCCTCTGGAGAGACTGTCACACATGTAGTGTCTCTATCTACTTGTTAGGAAGGGATGAGGTCACTGAAGAAATTAGTCATCTCTTGCCCCATCCCCAGCACGTGTGTAGACAGGCTGAATAAAGAAACTACAAAGAGCTGTTTACTTAGGTTGTTCATTTTTAAAAGGATCACAGTCATAGCGTTTCCTTAATTTTTGTGTTCCTAATTAAAATAAGTAGCAACATACCATTAAAACAATAAAGGATAAAATTACTGTCTTTCAGTTACCTTACTGAGCTCCGGAAACAGTTCCTGTATCACAATGTCCAATAATACGTAAGTCAGCTAAAGAATCCCCCAAAAAAAGAAAAAAAAGTTTTAAGGCATTAGACAAAATAACGAAATATGATTAAGAAAAAATTCAGAATAGTAGGTACATCTAAATGGAAAGGCAGAGAATAGAATTCACAGCAGACTATAAAATAAATACCAAAGCAGCTTCACTTCTACTTCATATTAAGTAGAAAATGCTCTGCTTCTTAATATGGGTGAGAGCTACCCATGTGTTCACATGTTGTTGTTGCTGTTGTTAAGTACTGTGGAGTCATGTAGAATTCTATTATTATGCCTCATAACTCATTACATGCTAAATATTTTTATAAAAAATATATTTAAAAAAAAAGCAGAATGCAAAACTATATTTCTTAAGATCTCAATACACGGTGGTGGTGGCTGTGTGTCACTGGGTCAGTTCCAACAACTGAGACAATTCCTTGTATCGGTTTTCTGAGGCTGGGAATCCTTATGGGCACAGAAACTCTCATCTCTCTCCCTAGGAGCGACTGGTAGATTGGAACTACTGACCCACTATATTACCACAGTTCCTTCATTAGAATATTACAAATTGGGCTGCTAACCTCAGGGTCAGCAGTTTGAAACTACCAGGTGTTCCATGGGAGAAAGATAGAGGCTTTCTGCTCCTGTAAAGACTAATAGCCTTGGAAACCCTGCACACAGTCGCTATGAGTCCAAACCGACTCCACGGCACATAACCACCACCACCATAAATATTAAAATGATAACTGTGGTTATTCTATGTTACCTGAATGATAAAATTACTGATTTTCATCCACCTCTACTTTTTTTCATTAATTGTATATTTCAAATTTTCTACATGAGGAGTATACAGCAACTCCTCACTTATCGACATGGTTAGGTTCCAATGACAAATTGTTGTGTGAATATACGAGAACATTCTCCCTGCAGACATGACTTTGATGATGCCCAGGTGGAAGTGGCAGATAGGCCATAGCTAGTCTGCTTCAAGCAGCAGTTTCCACCCTACCCCAACTCCTACATCCTGGGCTCTTCTTCCAGTAACCATTTCCTTGTCTGTCCTTCTGGGGCCTCTTCCCCTCCAGGTATGTTTCCTGGGCAACCCAAACCACCTGTCCCTCTCAGGCCACTAAGGTCTCACAAGGCTGGTCCTCTCAAGCTCTAGTCTCTCCCAGTGCAGAGGCAACTCCCGGGACTATTGCCTCGTGGTTAAGGTGCCTACTGCTCCCCAATACTCTGTTCTCTAGAGCTTTTGAGTGCCTCTCCATGCTACTAAAAGCCCTCTCCAAATTTAAAAAGTTGCTATGGCTGCTACAACAGCCAGCATGGTCACCCCTCTTCCATTTCCTGCACCCTGGTGTGGGTCTCCCCAACACTGGGACCCCAGCCCCTTCTCCTACACTCCAGTTTACCCCTCTGATTAAACTGTCTACAGTCAGCAGGCACCTCACCTCTAGGCAGCTACATCAGAAGCCCCACACCACTTCCAGCCTGGGCTCTTGCACCCCAGGCCCACCTTGTCCTCCTCCTGCATGGTTGGACCTACCCCACTGTGCTCCTCCATGCTGAGCTTCAGCCCACGGAACTGCTCTGGACCCCAACTGAGAATCCCAACTTACTGCAGTTGTTGCTCTAGCAAATCGAGACTGCGTCCACTGTGCAGTTGCTGAGAACTCTGCCAGGGGTCCTTAGCCTGTCTGGTTCAGAGCACTCACTTGTTCCGCTGAAGGCACAATGACCCACCTCTCCAAATGGTGCCGCCCTCAGCACCCACTCACACTGCCCTGGATCCTTCTGCTTTGTCACTTGGGGGAGCAAAGTTGGACTCCCTTATGCATTACCTCCTGCCCTCGCCTCTGGGCACTGACATTAGCCTCTGGATAGATTTTTAACTTGTTGCCAATGCAAAATGTCCCATAGTGATAAAGTTCTTAAATGAGGAGTAGATATACAAGAAAGAGTCAAAAAATATCCACACTCTGATATATTGTCATCCGCCCACATCCACCACTGATGACAAACTCGAGCATGCATTTGAAATGCTTCTGTCGAATAGATGAGTGACAGTAGATTAAGTGGCAAATCATTTGCAAACCAGCCATGATTCTGGCTAGGAAATAATCCTAGACTTGGGTTTCAAAAGTTTGTGCAAGATGGGTACAGAAAAAACTCACAGAAGACCAAAACCAGACACATTTGGACATCTGCCAACAAAATTTGGACTAATATGCAAAGGAAGGTTAAAGTTTATTTTTAAAAAAAACAAAACACTACTGGTGATGAAACATGAATTCATCACTATGAATCTAAGCGTAAACAGCTGAGTATGGATTGGAAACATCCTCAGTCACTGACTAAGAAAAAGTTCCAAAGTCAATCAGCTGGAAAATGGATGCTTACAGTTTTCTGGGATCCTCAAGTGCCAGTATTGGAACATTATCAGGAAAAATGTCCAACAATCAACAGTGCTCATTACAGTGAGATGGTCACTGAAGAGCTGAAGACTAAACTTCAGATGAAATGCTGAGGACTGCAAGATTCCAAGGGCCTTGTAATCTTGCATGACAGTGCAAGTGTGCATACCTCCGCCCACACTTTGACATTCTCCAAAAACTTCATTTTGAGGCATTAAAGATATAGTCCTGATCTTGCTCCATCTGATTTTCACATATTTGGTCCCCTAAAAGCACCCCTTTGAAGATAATAATTCACCTCAGATGAAGAAGTGAAGACAGTAGTGCATTTGTAGCTCTCAGCCTAGTCTAAAACATTTTTTTAATAAGGGAATATGAACGCTTGTTGACAGATGGACAAAGTGTCAAAAAATGATGTATTTGTCTCTACTAAAAGTTGGTTAAAATAAATTTTACAGTCAGAATGCAGATAATTTTTGACTCACACTTTAATATTTATTTTAAATCAAAATAATTCATGTCACATAGTAAAAAGAGTAACATATAAAACACATTTCTATCAGAATGTTTGAGTTACACTATGCTTATTTAGTAATAATAATATACCGGACACCCTACTATGTTAAGTCACACAATCTAGTCAATACTAAGTTACTGACTTAGATGAATTTTACCTGCTTGTTGAGTACTGGCTGCTGTAAGCCATCAAATAGAAGTCGGATGCTTTCATACTTGGCTTCTTTACCAATACACTTGACTATCAGATCTAAAAAAAATGTCACATGTAAAACAAATTTATATTGTAAGATGAATCATCATTAAGTGGATAATAAAGCAAAATCCCCACCATTTCCCAGATATTTTGCAAAAACTATAAATCAGCAAGTCTTAAATCAGTGTTCCTAGAAGATGCTCTTGAAAAAAAGAATTCTATATTCAAAGTGAGAAACAACAGCATCGGAGAGTCTTAATGAACATCGCATACCACAAATTCTGAGAAAATGCTGTAATAAAAAATATATATATTACTAAGTGATACAAAGGTAGTTAGAAAGTAATACATATTTTATTATTCTAATAAGGTAAAACAAAACCCTGAAATGAAGAATGTACATTTGTACAGATCCAAACGTACATACAGATATGCCTGCAAAGATTCACATGAAACTGGAACATGTGGCCACTTCTGTGTATTTGGGTGTAGACGGCTTCTACTTTTTATTCTATATATTTACATGGTATTTGAATATTTTAATATTAAAAAAGCAAAGAAGCTGATGTAATTTTTCAATCTAGTTTTACTTCAATAAATGGGACCACTTTTAAAATGTATTTCTATACTTTCTGCGCAATCACTGTTAACCATATTACTGAAGAATAATCTTGAGAAATGCTACAAGGGTTTAAATACTAATTTACAGTCCAAAGAGTTGAGATTCTTACTGGACTGACAGAGACTAGAAGAACCCCTGAATCTAATGCCCTCTGACACCCTTTTAACCTGGAACTGATGTCACTTCTAGAAGTCACCAGTCAGCCAAATAATAAGATTGTTGTTGTTAAGTGCCACTGAGTCAGTTCTGACTCACAGCGACACTGTATTGAGTTTCCAAATGGTGGGTTTGAACTGCTGACCCTGTGGTTTACAGCCCAGTGCTTATCCTACAGTACCACACCAGGAGTCCAAGTAATAGATTATCCTACAAATTAAACAGTAATATCCATGAAAACGTGCTCCTTTCTACAAACAACTATATGAGACTAAGCGATCAACATTTACACAAAAGCAAAGATCCTCATGCACCAATTTTGGAGTTGAGAGGTTTATTGGTAATATATATACATGTTGCTGTTGTTGTTGTTAAGTGCCATCAAGTTGGTTCCAATTTATAGCAACCCTATATAGGGTTTCCAAGGAGCAGCTGGTGAGTTTGAACTGTTGACCCTATGTTTCATACTGACCTTGCAGTCCAGTGCTTTATCTCAAAGCATCACACCAGGACTTCAATATATGTGTTATGTACACTTAAATAAAAAGGAGCATGGAAACTGGATAGATGGAAATGGGGCAAGCAGGGTAGAAAAGGTAAGAATGCTGACACATTACTGTGATTGTAACCAACGCCACAGAACTATCTGTATATGAATTGCTGAATGGGAATCTAATCTGTGTCGACTTCCACCAAAAACACACTAATATATACATTTACAGTTCATATTAATTTTTGACTGCATAGGTGTCATATATCATTCTTGTTACCAAAAAGGGTTAGTCCTTATTAAAATTTCTCTTCATCATTTACTACCAAGCAAAAAAATAGTGAAGTAAACAAGGTATTCAAAAATTTGTCATTTTCCCCCAACTGTAACCAAACTCTTAAGGTTTCACATGGAAAATTTGTACTTTATGTTTAGTACTATAAGTCTAATACTAATATGCAAAAGCCAAATTCCGTTTCCAAGATATGCTGCCTTTGTGACTCCTGAAATACTCCAAACTACAACAGAATTTCCCAATAGCATAAAGCATAATGGACAAATCTAAGTGATCCTTTCACAGCCTTGTGGCATCATTAACCAAGAGATAAAGAACAGAAGACAAGAGAAAGGAATCTGAGGCATACTCACTATCTAAATTACCAAACGAAACTTATTGCTGTCCAGTCATTCTGACTCACAGTGACTACTCCTGTAAGACAAAGTAGAACTGCTCCATAGGGTTTTTCAAAGTGTTGCATTCATGGTAAAAAAGAACATTTCAAAACTATCTTGAAATACAATGCTGCCCTTGGTAGGATAATATCCATATGCTTACAAGGAAGACCAGTTAATTATAACTAAGTTTACCAGTGTTGAAGAAACTAAAGAATTCTATCGGCTTCTTCAGTGTGAACTTGATCAAACATGCAAGCAAGATGCATTGGTAATTACTGGTGATTAAAATGCAAAAGTCAGAAACAAAGAGTAGGGAATGGTACTTGGAAAATATGGCCTTGGTGATAGAAATGATCCTGAAGATCATATAACAGAATTTTACAAGACACGCAACTTCTTTACTGCAAATACCTTTTTACAACTACATAAGTGGCAACTTATGTAGGAGTCCTGGTGTGGCACTGTGGGTTAATGAGCCAGTCTGCACAGCCATTTGAACTGCAAGGTCAGCAGTTCAAGCTCACCAGCTGCTCCTTGGAAACCCTATACAGGGTCATTATGGGTCGAAATCGACTCGATGGCACTTAACAACTTAACAACAAAGTGGCAACTAAAATGAGGACCTCACCAAATGGAATACACAAGAATCAAATAGGCAACAAATGTGGAATAAACCACCAATTTCATATGCAAGTTCAGGCTACAGTTAAAAAAAATTAAAACAAGTCCCCAAACACCAAAATGGATGCCAGAATAGAAACATGCTCTTAAGAGTAGAGTAGCTAAAGTGACTGGAAGAAATGATGAAGTAAAAAGGTCAAACAGAAAACTTCAAAGGGAAGCTCAAGAAGACACAGTGGTTAGCAGTTGAGTGCTGATCTACAACATCACACCAGGACTCCCAGATTCAGGGAAAGACTGATGCCAAGACACATGGAGCTATTCAAGGAATGGGAGAACTACAGGTGCTGAAAGGAGACAAGGACCTTTCTCCAGAGCCAGTGCTCTCAGTTCTGAATTCTAACCTCCTAAACTGTAAGAGAATACTGTTTGTTAAAGCCATCCACTTGTGGTATTTCTGCTATAGCTACCATAGATAACTAGGATAGCAGAGAATACCAGAAGAATAGATGGAAGTTGTCAGGGATTTTACTTGGATCCACAATTGATGCTCATGAAATCAGCAGTCAAGAAATCAAATGGCATATGGCATTATGCAAATCTGCTGTGCAAGAAGATATCCTTAAAATATTAAAGAGCCAAGATGTCACTTTGAGGACTAAGGGGCACCTGACCCAAATCAAGGTGTTTCAATAGCCTCATGTGCGTGTGAAAGCGCGACAATGAGTAAGGAAGACTGTGGAAGAATTGATGCCTTTAAATTATGGTGTTGGAGAAGAATAGTGAAAGTACCATGTCAGAAGAACAAACAAATCTGTTTCAGAAGTACAACCAGAACGCTTCTCAGAATTGAGGATGGTGAGACTGCCCGTGTACTTTGGACACGTTATCAGGAGGGACCAGTTCCTGAAAGGACATCATGCTTGATAAAGTAGAGGGTCAGTGAAACAGCGGAAGATCCCCAATAAGATGGATTGACACAGTGGCTGCAACAAAGGGTTCAAACCTAACGACGACTGGGAGGATGGCCAAGACCGAGTGGTGTTTTGTTCTGCTGTGCCTACTGCTGCTGGTTGCTGTGTGCCGTGGAGCCGGTTCCGACTCATAGCGACCCTGTACAGGGTTTCCGAGGCTGTAAATCTTCACGGGAGCAGAAAGCCTTATCTTTCTCCCGTGGAACAGCTGGTAGTTTCGAACTGCCGATCTTGAGGTTCACAGACCGATTTGTAACCAGAGCTCCTTTCTGCTGTGCCTTGGATTACTGTAACTGGAACCAACCTGCTAGCACCTAACAACAACAAGGATCTTTATAGATACCGATTGCCACATCTTTTATGTTGGTAGTGACCACTAGGTTTAAACTACCAATCTTTTGGTTAGCAATTAACCACTGTACTACCAAGGCTCCTACTAGCTAAGTTGCTGTGTGCTGCTGAGTCAGTTCAGACTCACGGCAATCCTATCTAGGATTTCTGAGGAGCAGTTGGTGGTTAGCAGTCCAGTGCTTAACCTACAGCACCACGCCAGAACACCACTAGCTAGCTAAGTTACTCCTTCCTAAACAGAAATCTTATAGTCGTTGTGATTGAAACACAAAGCTGTGAATGCCTCAGAAATATAATGCATTACTACAATTCACTTGTTTTCTGTGTGGTCCCTTACTATTACGATTGAGACTGTTGAAATACCATATATGTTACAAAACAGCTAAAAATATTTGACTTTATATATAGAAAAATTACTAAAAAATAGCTTATGTTCACTTTTACTTTCAAACCAGGGATTTAACAATAATTACCTTCACACAGACTACTGTCTTCAATGGATGAATCTGTGGCTAATTCTTAAATGTTAAAAAATTCTAGGTACATAGTTTCAGTGGACACCAATGTCAACTGGCATCACATAGTCCATAGAGACAATGCTCTACATCCTAATTTGTGATAAGTGACTGGGGTCTTAGAAGCTTATGGGTGGCCATCTAAGGTGCAGTTACTGTTATATCCCTGTCTGAAGTAAGAAGAGTGAGTAAAATTGAAGAAGGAACATGGAAACATTTAGTTCAGTGGACTGAAATACCATGCAAACATAAGTCTCTATAATCCTGAGATCAGAACTACATGATGCCTGACTACCATTATCAGTCCTCAAGGGACTGCATTAAGCAGTCTTGGATAGAGAGAGAAAATGTGGAACAAAACTCAAAATTATGAGAGACTAAGTTTACTGGTGGTACTCTCGAGACTATGACTCTTAGTCACCCTTCAGGTCTCTAACCAAACATACCTGTGGGTCAATTTTCTGCCAAACAACAGGCATGTTTGTTTATAAGGGGAACGATAACACTAGTGAGGTCTGCACACCTTAGAATAATCAACCAAGTGAGACCAAAAGGCAGCATTTACCCAAGGACAAGGTCCAGAAGGGTTAGGAACCAGGGAGGAAGTGGGATAAACGATGTTACACTGAGGGTATTGTAAACAATGAGACGAAAGGAAATGTATATGAACTGCTGAATGTAAGTAAGACCCATAATCTGCTCTGTAAACCTTCACCCAATTCATAATAGAATGTTAAAAAAGAAAAATCAAAAGAATTTTCTGTCTGGCGTTCTCTCTTAAGCCATCTTCTCTTATCACTGCATACCTTGTTTCTGGGCATGATTATCCAGTTGCACATGATTTCATCATCTCTATCCTGTACCACCTTTCCTCTAAGACTCAAACTTTGAGATCTAATTGCTTACTAGACATTTCCTCATAATTCATGGGCGCTCCTAATTTATAGCCACTTCACACTAAACTCAAAATCCTCTGCTTTGATGCCTTGACATTTTTCCTTGTAGTTTCTAGTTCAGTAAGAGGTTGCTATTGTTATGTGCCACTCAGTCAGTCCGACTTATAATGAACCTGTCTGACAGAGTTGAATTGTCCCATGGATTTCTTAGGGTGGGTTTTTTTATGAGGACAGATCATCAAATCTCTTCTCTCGTGGAGCCACTTATTCAGTTTGAATCACTGACCTATCAGTTAGCAGCAATGCTTAGTCATTGAACCAACAGGACATTTTTCACGTAACATCCCAAGTCTACTTCCTTTACAAGAGAAGGACCAGTATTTCTCCTCTGTGATACCTGTAAAGCTTAAACATGCCCTAGTATTATGTGTAAATTTTGTCTGCCTACCTGTCTTCCCTGCTAGACTGGGATACTCAGTACATTTTTATGTCCCTTGAGCTCTACAGAATACCTGGCACAGGGAAAGAGCAGTCATTTGGAAGGAATAATGAAGTCTGATCTTTCAGTTCTACACCAGTAGTGCAGCTCTCCTTATGGTATAATGGGCAGCAGGATTACAAGTGCCCCAGAGACGCCTCACACTTTGATCAGTCTGACTTTAAGTTACTGTTCAAACACTCTGGCTAGCATGTATGGAAAAACACCTTGTCTTGCAATTCTTAGTGCTAGTATCATAAAAAAAAAAGTATTATTTCACTTAAGAGTGAAATGATCCTTATGACTATTTTAAAAATGAAAACTTAGAATAAAAACTAGCTTCAGTGATTAATTTACACTGTGACCTCAAAGGAGTGTTATATTATATAAACGTAAGTTACTTCATGAATATTACACCTGGAATGTAATTCATCATTTCTTCAAAACTCTGCTTTGCTTGTTTTTGCTTGTCTTGGAGAGAGCGAGGTTGAGTATTTTCACAGAATACAGCATCTAAAAACGAGACAAAAGGAAATATCTGCTGAAATTTTCAACTATTTATACACAAAGTAGTTCCTCATAATAGAAATACTAATAAACCAAAGGGAGTGAGGAGAAGACTTTTTAGACTTTTAGATCCAGTTAAGATAATTAAAAGTGCTTATAACATGAATCAAACACATGAGAAAATACAAACCTCTGAGAAGTGTTATAAGTGAGACCAAACGGTGTTCCTGAAATAACTGTTCTAGTTTACACTGAAGAAAGTAGTCAGTGTACATTTCCAGGGTGTTTTTGAAGAGGATTCGAGTTCCCATTAGGAAATGATGAAGCCAGTCAGGAACTTGGAAAACCACTCGTCCTGAGAAGTATTACAAGAAATAGCTCATTTTTAAGATAATGTTTAACATTTCCCAATACAAAAACAGTCCCACAAATGACAATGGCCAGTATTTTATTTGTAAACACCAGTAATGTTAATATACTTAAGACCAACTGTATTAAATTCTTATAAAAGAAGTACCTTCAATTAAGGAAAAATGGTTTTGAAGGGGCAATACTCAAGAGCATCAATTTGCATTACAGAAGAAATACAACAGAAGACTGAAAAATGGGTTTTAACTGAAAACACGTAGATCTTACCTACATACATCAGGTAATCATAGACTCCTTCTACAGTCATCATTTCCATAAAATAATTCTGATTTTGCTTTCTCTCTGTAGTCTCAGCTCGGTTTGCATTATTTTTGAACAGGTCATTGAAAAGCTAAAGTAAAAGTTGAAATAATAATGAGACATACTTTATTACACCTACTGGTGAGAACCACGAAAGCGACTGTGAAAAAAAAGCAATTTAAACCTTGTCTAACCTAAACAGAATAACAGGTAGGTTAAGATCTGCTTCAAAAATTATACAAAAAATACATATTCTCTCAGAATAGTACTTAAAAGCATGCATTCATTTTACACAAGACACATAAGACACACTTTACACAAGACATGATCCATAAAGGAACTCTCCAGTTTTATTTGAACACCAAAACACGTATGTGAAAGTATCTTATTGCTGTTATTGTTAGGGGCTGTTGAGTTGGTTCTGATACATAGTGACCCTGTGCACAACAGAACAAACCACTTCCCAGTCCTGAAACACCCTTACACTTGTTATATTTAGGCCCACTGTTGGTGCTTCTGTGCCAATCCATCTCACTGGGGATCATCCACATTTTTGCTGACCCTTCACTTTATCAAGTATAATGTCCTTTTCCAGGGACTTACTCCTCTTGATAACATGTACAAAGAACGAGAGACACGTCTTGGCTCCCTCACCTCTATAAAACATTCTGGCTGTACTGGCAGTTTATGTGGTTCTTTCAGTATTTTTCTTCACCGTTGATTCTTTTCCAGTCTTCTTTATTCACTGCCCAACTTTTACATGCATATGAGGCTACTGAATATGTCATAATTTTGGTCAGGGGCATTTTAGTCCTCAAAGTGACATCTTTGCTCTTTAACACTTTAAAGAGATCTTTTGCAGCTTATTTGCCAAATGCTTTATGTCATTCAATTTCTTGATTGCTGCTTTCGGAGTATTGATTGTGAATCCAACAAAATGAAATCTTTGACAATTTCAATCTGTTCTCTGTTTATCATGTTATTTATTGGTCCAGTTGTAAGGATTTTTGTTTTCTTTATGTTGAGGTGCAATGCTTCATCAGTAAGTATTCTAAATTCTCTCAGAAGCAAAGGTGTGTCATCTGCATATTGCAAGTTGTTAATGACTCTTCCTCCCTACTTCATAGCCCTCTTTTGAATCCAGGTTGAACTTCTGGGAGCTCACCATGTACTGCTGCAACCATCTTTGGATTATCTTCAGTCAAACTGAACTTGTATGTGATATTAATGATACTGTTAGATGATTTCTACATTCTGCTGGATTACCTTTCTCTGAAATAGGTACAAACATGGATCTCTTCCAATCTGTTGGCTGGGTAGCTGTCTTCCAAATTTCTTGGCAAAGAAAAGTGAGAACCTCCAGCACTGTTTGCTGAAATATTTTAGTTGGTAGTCTATCAATTCCTGGTATTCCATCAATGCCTTCAGTGCAGCCTGGATTTCTTCTTTCAATACTGTTGGCTCTTGATCATATACTACCTCTTGACAAGGTATAATGACTATGTGTATTCCTTCCATCTTTTTTTTTTTTTTTTTTTTAAGTTTTTATTGTGAATTGAGTAAAAGTTTACAGGGCAGATCATCAGTTTTACTTTCAACAAATCATACACCTTGTTTCACTACAATGATTATAATACCCTCCATATAACATCAGTTAACAGTATTTCTCTATACTCATTTTAGTTCCTTTTTTTTTTTTTTTTAAACGCTCAGGCATATATAATAATTTACACTACCAAAGAACACATTCTGCAAGTCTGCCTCCTGGCCACCAGCTGTCAGCCCCTCTCTTCCCATGAATCTAGAGTCTTCAGCTGCTCCCTGTCTCCATGTCCCCATTTCTGGTGTCGCTGCTTCTCTGGATAAAGTCTCCCATTCTGCTTGTGTTCTTTTCCCTTGATGGTCCTTCCATCTTCTTTTGATGCTTCCTCCATCATTATTTTGCTCATAGAATCTTTCTATATTGCTTGGACTGAATTTTTTTCTTGAGTCATTTCAACTTGAGAAATGCTATGTTTTTCTCTTTTGGTTTCCTAACTCCAGATCTTTGCACATTTCACTGTAATACTATACTTTGTCTTTTTGAGCTGCACTTTGATATTTTCGGTTTAGCTCTTTTACTTCATTATTTCTTCCAATCGCTTTAGCTTCTCTATGCTCAAGAGCAAATTTCAGGGTCTCGTCTAACATCTATTTTTACTTTCTTTCTTTTATGTATTTTTAATGACCTTTTGTTTTTTTCATGTATTATGTTCTTGATGTCATCCCTCAACTCTCCTGGTCTTCAGTCATTAGTGTCTAATGTATCAAATCTCTTCTTGAGAAGGTCTCTAAATTTAGGTAGAATGTATTCCAGGTCTTTGGCTTGTGTGTGTTCTTGCTTTAATTTTCTCCAGCTTCAGACTGAATTTGCATATGAGCAATTGATGGTTTGTTCCACAGCCTGCCCTTGACATTGTTTTGGCTAATGATACTGATCCTCTCCATCATCTCTTACCAGAGATATACAAAATTTGATTCCTGTGCAGTCCATCTGGTGAGGTCCACATGTGTATAGTCACCTTTTATGATGTTGGAAAAGGTGTTTCCATTGAATAAGCTGTTGGTCTTGCAAAATTCTATCATGTGATCTTTAGTATTATTTTTATCACCAAGGCCATATTTTAAAACTACTGATCCCTCCTCTTTGTTTCTAACTTTCATATTCCAATTATCAATATATCTCGTAACTATCAATGCATCTTGATAGCATGTTTGATCAATTTCAGACTGAAGAAGTTGGAAGAATTCAATTTCATCATTGTTGGCTTTAGTGGTCAGTGCATACATTTGAATAATAGTGGTATTAACTGGTCTTCCTTATAGATATCATCCTATCACAAACAGCATTGCACTGCAAGAAATATCTTGAAATATACTCTTTTTGACAATGAACGCAATGCCATTTCTCTTCAATTTGTAGTTCCTTGCATAGTAAATCATGATTATCTAATTCAAAATGATTAACATCTATCTTTTTCAGCTCATTAATGCCTATAATATCAATCTTTATGTATTCCATTTCATTTTTATGACTTCCAATATTCCAAGATTCATACTTCATACAATTCGCATTCCAACTATTAATGAATGTTTGCAGCTGTTTCTCTACATTTTGAGTTGTGCCTCATCAGCAAATGAAGGTCCCAAAATTTTTGCTCCATCCATGTCATTAAGGTCAACTGTACTTTGAGGAGGCAGGTCTTGCCATTTGTATTTTGAATGCCTCCCAACCTGAGGAAGCTTATCTTCCAGCACTGTATCAGACAGTGCTTTCAAGTGGTCTGCCTCTCCTTCTTCCTAGTCTGTCTTAGTCTAGAAGCTCCGCTGAAACCTGTTCATCAAGGGTGCCAATGCCAGTATTTAAAGTATCAGTGGCAGAGTTTCTAGTCTCACAGTGACGCACAGGCCACCACAATATTACAAACTGATAGACAAATGGTGGGTAATTATCTTAATGGTAGTAAAATTTGAAATTATTATTTAAAAGTTATACATCACTATTTAGTTAATGGGTACTTATTAAAAGTGAAAATGAAGCTTAAAGTTTATTTGTTGTTAAGTGCTGTCGAATTGGTTCAAACTCAAAACAACTCTTTATAGGGCTTCCAAGGAACCAGCGGTAGGTTTGAACTGTTAGTCTTGTGATTAGCAGTCTAGTGCTTGACCTACAGCGCCATACCACGACTCCACATTATTTTTGTTGTTAAGTGCCGCTGAGTCAGTTCTGATCCATAGCAACCCTGTATAGGGCTTCTGAGAAGCGGCTGGTGAGCTTGAAATGCTGACCTCTGACCTTGTGGTTCAAACTGACAGTGTAGTCCAGCGCATTAACCCACATTATTAGTGCAAAAAGTCCTAATCCATGTAGGAAAAAAATGTTTTAAGCTAATTAAAATTAATCATGATGGAGTGAAATGAAATCACACCCCTAAGTACTCCTAAGTATGCAAATTCTATCAATCAAGTCTCAAATGTATACTGAGTACCTAATTTTAACAAAAATTTATTTATTCACAGATGGACTGAAAAAGTAAAAGTATGTAAGTACTTCCTTTGTGGTAGATTGTTGTTGTTGTATGCTATCAAGTCAGTTGAGACTCATAGCAACCCTGTATAGGATTTCTGAGAGCAGCTGGGGGGCTTGAACTGCTGACCTTGCAGTTAGCATTCCAGTACTTATCCTATAACACCATACCAGGGCTCATGTGGTAGATACTGTGCCAAAACCAGAGAATACAAAGATGGGTCACTGTTCTCCAAGAAGTTTAATGTTTAATAGAAATAAATGTAGTAAAACAGGTACTACAAGACATGTAAATACAGGGGAAGAGTGCTGTTGAATAAAAACATCAATGTACATAAAATTAACCATTTATGTTTAACAACAATAAACTTACAAGTGAAAAGAAAACTGTTAAAATTATTATTTATATGAATTCGGCAGGTTCTCTTGTGGAGGGCTGTACATTGACCACCCACAGCACCCCATGTTTGCAGTATGTTAACACTAACTGAGCTTCTTTATATTCCCCAGTTCACAGTACTCAACAGTAGGCACACAATGAAATGTTTGTTTAATAAGTAGATGAATAAAATATTTTGAAAGTCATTAAAATTAATCTTTGTATCCCCAGTTCAGAGAACTCAATTGTAGACACACAATAAAATACTTGTTTAATAAATGGATTACATATTTTATAAGCCATAAAAATTATCATTAAAAAGATAATACTGTAAATAAATATTACATTACAGCAATTAACATCTTACTGGAAGTTGGCAATTTACATCCTAAGAAAATTATTTTTTCAAAACTCCCAAATACACAAATGGTAATGATCTGTAAATACATTAAGCACAGGAAAGCAAAAGGCCCAAATAAGGAGACACAATACTTGCTCTGTACCCAAATTTCATATTAAAGAACATGGGTTTCAAATAACATTCAAGTCTCTAATCCTTACCCCTCTCCTGCCCTTTCCTTCCTTATAAAACTTCATCAACTATAGTTCATAAATTCAAGTTCAAATCTACTCAATTTATAAGTGGCAGCATCAATGGGCTCAAGCGTGGCAACAATAGTGAGGTTGGCCAAGATCGGGCAGTGTTTCGTTCTGCTGTGCATAAGGTCGCTTGAGTCAGTATCAACTGGATGGCACCTCACAACAACAACATTAATAAGTAGTAACCCACATTCATTAGCTATTTCATTAATAAAGGACTCTCCTTGTCATGGAAAGTAATCTTAGAACAACAACACTGAATGAAAATGTTGATGAAATGTAACTGTCATTGAGCAATCTGAGTGGAAACTGTCAAAGGAGAACCTAAGCATGCTGTGTAAACGCTGAACAAAAACACAATAAAACATGATTAAAAAACAAAGTAATCTCAAGTAGTATGAATTTAATTGAACACAACTGTAGCAGTACCTTCTTGTTATTTTCTGACGTAGGGCTGAGAATGGTTAGTTCTGGTCGACTTGGCTTAGCTTTTGGAGATTCACAAGAATTCATGAAATTCATGATGAAAGTCTCTAAGTGCTGACCTTTCTGTGGTGATACAAAAATCAACGCATGAGAATCCAAATGAAAATTATAATTTTTAGTAAATAATACATTATAATATATCAATAGTTCAATATTTACGACTATTTTATCATTAAGTATACATAAATGTTTATGACTAGTATAGTATATGACAGTTATTCACCTCTTTCATCAGTTTTCCAGGGACTGACTTTATAATTTTCCCTGCAATTAGAAGCAAAATATTAATTTCATGAAAGTATATCTATAATTTCTAATATGAATACTATACCAGATAATCTATTAAAAAGCCAAGAAAAAACAAAATATTTACAACTGACCATTCCACACTCAACAAAAACTCCAGTAAAGATGGTATTCTAAACTCTTCCTAGATGAAACGACATGCTGTTTGAAATTGACTTTAAAGTACTACAGTATATCTGGGTGGCAGGAAAAGGTCTAGCACAAACCAAATGCTGGTAATTGTTGAAGTAGAGTGATGGGTTCATTATAGTATTTCTTCTCCTTCGGTGGAAACAAGCAAGCAAGTATGTTTACCTAACTGAATCTCCTAAGTGTCATTTGGCACAACTGAATGTATAATTTTGGGAAATATGCATCAAATCCAAATGCTTATTTGTAATAATTAATTGATATGATTATTGAAATGTACTTATAATTATGTAAGATGTATTTAGAAATACAGATTTATGATCATATTATTTTTAACATTAAGAAGGCAAGAAAGAAGGAAAACAGAAAAATGGATGTCAAAAGAAACTCTGAAATTTGTTCTCCAGTGTAGAGAATCTAAAGCAAATGAAAGAAACAAGGAGGTAAGAGACCTAAACAGACAATTTAAAAGGGGAGCTAGAGCAAACAAAGTCAAATATTATAATGAAATGTGCAAAGACCTGGAGTTAGAAAACTAAACAGAAGGACACACTCAGCATTTCTCAAGCTGAGAAAACTGAAGAAAAAAGTCAAACCTTGATTAGTATTGAAGGATTCTATAGGCAAAATATTGAATGATGCAGAAAAAAATTTAAAAAATGATAGAAAGAGACACAGAGTCACTGTACCAAAGAAAGGATTGGTGTCCAACCATTTCATAGGGTAGCATAAAATCAAGAGACAATGGTACTGAAGCAGGAAGTCCAAGGTGTGCTGAAGGCACTGACAAAGAACAAGACTCTGGAAATTGATGGAACATAAGTTGAAATCTTTCAACAAACTAATGCACCACGATAGAGTTGAACATGATGGCACAAATGGAGTAAATAAAGCCTTCCGGACCTTCATTTGCTGATGGAACACAACTCAAAATTAAGAGAAACAGCTGTAAGGACCCATTATTAATTGCAATATTGAATGTATGAAGTATGAATCTAGGAAAATTGGAAGTTGTCAAAAATGAAATGGAACACAAAAATATCAATATTCTAGGCATCCGTGTGCTGAAATGGACTGCTATTGACCATTTTGAATCAGACAATCACATGGTTTACGATGCCAGGAATGCCAAACTGAAGAGGAATGGCGTCACATTCATCATCAAAAAGAATATATCAAGATCTGTCTTGAAATAGAAGGTTGTCTGTAATAAAGGCCTTCAACTGTGTGGATCATGACAAGCTATGGACAAAACTGTGGAGAATGGGTACTACAGAACACTTAATTGTGCTCACAAGGAAACTGTACATAGACCAAGAGGCAGTTGTTTAAACAGAAAAAGGTAATACCGAATGGTTTAAAACTAGGAAAGGCGTATGTCAGGGTTGTATTCTTTCACCATACTTATTCAACCTGTATGCTGAGCAAATAATCTGAGAAGCTGGGTTATATGCAGAAACGTATGGCATCAGGATTGGAGGAAGACTCATTAATAACCTGCGATAAGCAGATGATACAACCTTGCTTGCTGAAAGCTATTAAAATACTTACTGATGAAGATCAAAGGCCCTATGGCTTTTGGTATTGGTTGCACTTTAATGTAAAGAAAACAAAAATCTTCACTACTGGACCAATAAACAATATTCATATAAATGGAGAAAAGACTGAAGTTGTCAAAGACTTCATTTTCTCAGATCAATCATCAACACTCATGGAAGCAGCAGTCAAGAAATCAAACAACATATTGCATCAGGCAAATCTGCTGCACAAGACCTCTTTAATGTGTTCAAGAGCAAAAATGGCAGTTTGAGGACTAAGGCGCGTCTGAACCAAACCATGGCATGTTCAATAACCTTATATGCATGTGAATGTTGGACAGTGAAGAAGGAAAACCGTAGAGGAATTAATTGATGCATCTGAGTTATGGTGCTGGAAGAGAATATTAAAAGTAACATGGACTGCCAAAGTAACAAACCAATCTGTGTTAGAAGAAGTACAGCCAGAATATCCCTTGAAAGCCAGGATGGCCAGATTTCGTCTCTCCTACTTCAGAAATATTATCAGAGGGACCAGTCCCTGAAGAAGGATATCATGTTTGGTGAAGTGGAGGGTCAGAGAAAAAGAGGAAAAGACTGCCAATGAGATGACTCAACAGAGTGGCAGCAGCAATGGGCTCAAACACAGCAACAGTTGTGATGCTAGTTAGTGCAGGGCCAGGCAGTGTTTCGTTCTTGAGTACATAGGGTCATTATGAGTGGGTACCGACTTGGTGGCACCTACAACAACAACAAATTGAAATCTTTCCACAAACTAATGCAACATTGGAGACACCCACTCATGTAAGCCAAGAAATTTGGCAGACAGCTACCAGGCCAACTGATTGGAAGAGATCCATATTTGTGACCATTCTAAAGAGTGGTGATCCAATGGAATGTGGAAATCATTGGACAATATCATTAATATCACATACAAGTAAAATTTTGCTAAAGACAATTTTTAAAAGGCTACAACAGTACACTGACAGGCAACTGTGAAAGGTTCAAGCCAAATTCAGACTAGGACATGGAAATAGTGTATCACCATTGATGTCTGATGGATCTTGGATAAAAGCAGAATATACCAGAAAGATATTTTCCAATGCTTTACTGACTACCCAAGGCTTGTGACTATGTAGATCATGACAAGCTATGGATAACATTGAAAAGGATGGGTATTCCAGAATACTTAATTATGTTCATGAGGAACCAGAACATAGACCAAGAGGCAGTTGTTCAAACACAAGGGGATAATGAATGGTTTAAAATCAGAAAAGGTGTGCACTAGGGTTATATTCTCTCATCATATCTATTCAATCTGTATGCTGAACAAATAATCTGAGAAGCAAGATTATACGAAGAACATGGCAACAGGATTGTACTAAGATTTATGAACAACCTATGATGCACAGATGATACAACCTTGTTTTCTAAAAGCAAAGAGGACTTAAAATACAGATGAAGACCAAAGACTCCTCAGAATGGGTTGTACCTCAATGTAAAGGAAACAAAGATCCTCACAGCTATACAAATAAATAACATTATGATAAATGGAGAAAGGATTGAAGTTATCAAAGACTTAATCTTGCGTGGTTTCACTAGTAACACTCACGGAAGCAGCTTTTAAGAAATCAACCTATGTATTGCATTAGGCAAACCTGCTACACAAGACCTCTTTCAAATGTTTAAGAACAAAGATACTAGTTTGAGGACTAAGGTATACTTGACCCAAATGATGGTATTTTTCAATAATCTCATATGTATGTGAAAGCTGGACAGTGAATAAGGAAGACCACAGAAGAACTGATGCATTTGAGTTAACATATTAGAGAAGAAAAGTACCATGGACTGTCAGAAATACAAACAAATCTATGTCAGAAGTACAGCCAGAATGCTTCTTAGAAGCCAGGATGGCAAGACTTTTTATCTCTTATACTTCGGACATATTATCAGGAGGGGCGAGTCCCTGGAGAAGACACTATGTTCAGTAAAGTGGAGGGTCAGTGAAAAAGAGGAAGACCCCCCAACAAGATGGCATAGCACAGTGACAATAGCAATGGGCACAAGGGTAACAAAGATTGTGAGAATGGCACAGGACCAGGCAGTGTTCCCTTCTGTTGTGCACAGGGTCTCTATGAGTGGCAACTTACTCAATGGCCCCTAACAATAATAACATTCAAATTTTTCCAGTTAATATTAGTTTGGTATGTTTTTGAACACATATAAGGGAGATTTTGTTGTACATATTTTTATGTCTTGCTTCTTTCATTCAGCATTTTTTTTAAGGTTTATCCACACTGTTGCAAGTTGTTTTGCTAGCTGCCTTATAGTTATTGCAATGTATTAGCTACAACTTAATCATTTTCATTGCTATATATACAATGTTATGACTATAACCATAATTTATCTTCCTATTCTATTATTGATGAACATTTGTACTGCTTCCAGTTTGAGCTACTACAAACAAATCTGCTAAGATACTGAGTATATATCTCAGAAAGGAACTCTGAGGTCATTCTTAAAACAAAAATGGGTTTTCAAGTGATTTTACAATTTATATTCCTTGTAACAGCATATAGGGAGCACAGTGGTGCTATAGAATAAGCACGGGACTGAAAATCACAAAGTTGGTGATTTGAGCCACCAGCTGCTCTCTGGTTTGAGCCTACCAGCTGTTCCTGCAAATACTGACAGCCTCTGAAACCCTATACAGGGTTTGCTATGAGTAAGAACAAATTCAACGACACGTAACTACAATAGCATATTAGAGTTCCTGTTGTTCCATATTTGCACCAACACTTGGCATGAGCTACTTTACTGAAAGCCCTTTTTACTTTCACAATCTGGAGTTATCGCAATGATTTTCCTTTGTATTTCCCTGATTATCAGCAGTATTAGTTAGCCACATTTTCATATATCTGTAGGTCATTTATATTCCTTTTGTGACGTGTCTTTTCAAGTTTTCTACCCATTTTTATTGCATTGTCTTCTTAGTGAATTGTATGAATTTTTTACATACTTTTTACATCCTTTCCCATTCTGTAGCTATCTTTAGTGTTCTTTATGGGTCTTTTTTTTATGAACTAGCTTTCACTTTTAGCAAAGTTAATATACATATTTTCTTTTCTTATTGGTTCTTAGAAAGTATTTCTGTTTTATGAAGGTGATGATAGTTTGTATCCTGGTTTTTGCTTCACTGTGTGTCCATGTTGTCATCTCGATGCAAAAATGATATTTAGATGACATTGGCTTTATTTTCATATTAATATTTTGATAAAAAACATTTGAAAACAT